ACGGCTCGTGCACTTGCGAGTATCACAAGTTGAGGATGCAACTGAATCCATTTTGGTGCAGCTGAAATCCACACAACAACTATATCATGCTATAATTATCATGAAAAATACTTACTTGAGTACAGGCATGTGCACTTATCATATCCTCCACATTCTTATTGTGAGGCTATAAACAATTAAAGAGAAGCTTGAGAAAAAATTTGTGATTTAATAAATAACTATATGAATAAATGCTTCATAAATTATTTTAAGAGTTGTATACCTCTTGAGACATTTTAATAAATGCTTCAAGTTTGGCTTCAATTAGCTCCATCCTTTGAGATTGAGATTTCACTACAGACTCAAGTTCCTTCACTCGTCCGCTACCTTGAATTACTGCATCTACTCTAGAGGGTGTTGCACCAAACCCAAGCCCTCGAACTCGGCCACAACTTTCAGGTCCTATAACTCTTGCTATAGCATCATCTTGTATAGAATTTCTCGATGGTGGATTCTCTTTTGACTCATTGCACATCTTTATATTTTCTATAATATATAAACCATAAGCTTAATAAACTAATATCACTAACACAGAAACAAATATTCTTATAAAAATTAATGCATCATAACCAAACCTCATCAACTTCAACAAAATAAACCCAGCAGCTTCAACTGACTGAGTCACATAGACAATTAATATTAATTTGAAACTTTCATTTGGTGTCTTACCAATATGTTGCTAACAGCTTCGTTAATTGGTGTACCATCCTTTCTCTGATGCACTTTTGTCCACAATGTCACTTTATTTATTTCTTCAGGATTTGGATGATTTAATTTCTACATGAGAACAAATTAGGTATCTACTTGAAAAAAAAATTAAACTAAATATTTGGTCGTATGCTTAGTAATCATACCATGTCATACTCCACAAGGGCATAGCCTTTTCGACTCATTGTATGTGTGTACTTTTGCTGCTTTCTCATTGCTCTAAATTTTTCACTTAGTTTCTGCAAGAGACAAATAGTTACATCAGTGAAAAAAATGTTAGAAATTGATAAGAATACCTGAAAGTATAATGATTGCTAAGAAAGAAATACTTACTTGAAATTCTGCTCCAAGTCTTTCTTTGACAAATTTGTCCCAATCTTCCTTTGACTTTAGTCTGGCTTAACAAGGGCAATGGCACGTGCCTTATGCTTTCTTTTACTTGCTTCACGAATTGCTGTTGTTATTTTTGATTTAAATTGTCTCCAATATTTTCCCGTCATCCTAAAAGTAAAGTTTTTATGCGCATCTCCCACTATGTAGTTTTGCTGTATTTTCAAATACAATAGCAGTTCATTTTCCAAGTAGAGAATGGGTCGAATAACAGTTTGGTATATAAAAATTAAAATTAAAATTAAAAGCAAACCTGAATTAATGGCCAAAGCTCATCCTTGTTTATTTCTTTAAGGTCCTTCCAACTTGACATAACAATAGGCACATGCGCTCGGGTTAAGACCCCAAGAAATGAGGCAAAAGACTCTGAATTTGGACCACATAGTTGTCCCCCGAGATTGAAACTAACTTCTAACCGTGATTTTTTACCTAGGGGAATAACTGCCATTCTAGTAGGACCTCGCTTCTTTTTTTGTTCATTGATTTGTGCAACATTTTCAGCTTGTGCTGGTTGCTCTTCTACATCAATGGCTGGTAGAGTAGATGAAAAATTGGACCTCAAATTAGATGTTCTAACCTCATTTTCACGCTGTCCTCTCATTGTAGTTTTCCACTGCCAATTATCTTGTTGTTTACCTCTTGGTTGTTTCTCTTTGTTATTCATCCTCTCATCACATATATGAACTCCCAAATTTCGACGTTCAGTTGCAATAACCAATTCTGCCTTGATTTGTTTTGCTGTTCTCTTCACAACAATCTTAGAAGACTTCAGAGCACAAATACATAAATAAAATTAGTACCGAGTACACTTTGAAGAAAAGTAAAATAAAATAAAATTAGTCTCACCTCACCACCAGACATCTTGTGATATAATTGTCAAAAGACTTTGACAGCAACCAACCTAGAAAACAATAAGTACATGATTTAGCTATGTAGTGACATATTATCCCTATATACTATCAACTGGCACTGAAATTTAAAAAATCACCACTCTTTAAAGAGAGGATGAATAACAAAGAGAGGATGTTAAATACACCAAGCGAAGACATATATTTAATATTATCCTTTCACATCCAATGTTAGACGATTTATTACACTACTCATCAAAAAACATTTCATCGACGTCCATTCGCACATATTGTTCATTCTCATCATCATCATCATAATCAAGTTCTAATACATCAAATGGGGTAGATGTGCCACTTTCCATCTCGTCGGATATCTCCAAATCTTGAAATCCTTTGGGAGGTGCTTTCATGACAACATACCAACTAGATGTCTCATCCTCCCTAGAATAAAAAACTTGTTTAGCTTGTGATGCTAAAATGAAAGGATCCCTTTCAAACTGACTTTGTCCTTCGTGGAGGTTAACTAAGGTAAATCCATCATTTAGTTTGATGCCATTCACAATGCTTGCCCAATCACACTTGAATAAAGCAATATAAAATTCATGATATGACAAGACTATGACTTCTCTCAAAACCCCATAATAAGCTACTTTCCCTGTGACTGGTGTATGGTCTCTTGCACTAGATACACAAATAGTTGTTGCTTCAAGTGAAACACCGCTGTTTTGACGAGATTTCTCAAATTCTTTAGTGTGAAACCAAAGACCATTGATAATAAAACCAGAATATGAAATTGCATAGCGACTAGGCTCACGCGCAAGCCACTTTAAAGTATTTGACACATTGTGGACCATCTTCTCTGCCCTAATCTGTCCAAAATGTAAGCATGTTTTAGATATAAGTGTCAATTACATAAAATTCAAAATCCATTAATTATGATAAGATCTCTTAATACCTTAGCATCCAACCATGTGCTAAATGACTCCACGTGCTTTTTCTGTAATAAAGTTTCATTCTTTAATAGATGTCTATTTGAGTGCCTAAGTTCATCCAAATGCATCCTAACATAATAAGTAATGTGTTAGGAATTTTTTGAAATGTCACTTCCATGCAAGTTGCAAATTAGTAAAAAGGTTACAAAAACTTACTCTATATATGGCTGCATTTCTACCATATTGAACAACACTTGGCGATGAGCAATTTGTAACATCTCATATGTAAGAATTATTTGTTTTAATTGAGATATTGGACGCCCTTCCAGCAGTAAATTATTTTCAAACTCTTCATTGTGCGCCTTCCTGTAGCCTATATCATTAGCTTGCTTTATATACCTGCTACATAGCAAAGCACACTCTTTAGCAAGGTAGCGTTCAGCCATACACCCTTCCGGTCGTGCCCGATTCATAACATATCTGTGGGAGCAAATTTCCTCCCACGGGAATATTCGGTTGACAGATTCCTTCGTCTTCTCCGCTTCTCTTTCTCCCTGCAAAATGAATAGCAATAAGAGGACCGCACCCGGGGGGTGTTGGCTAAAGGCCCTTCGATGCCTAAGTCAGTTCAATCAATCTGAAGAGAAACGATAGCTAAAATAGGGTACGGGAATATGTATATGTGGTGAAAACTGGGTGGCCGGAGCCGTGAGTTGTGGCCGGAGCCTTGTGTAAAAGGGAGAGAGAGAGAGAGAGAGTGGCGGCTAGGGTTTGTGAGAAATAATTTCTGCAGAGATTTGGTAGTAATTTTAGACGTACCTCAACCCTTG